TCTTCTCATGTGGAGGACAGAGTGGGGCAGGATCTCCCCATCTCCACCTCCCTGTGACCAGCAACTTCCTTCATGATTCTGGCTTCTTCCTTCCCACGCTGCAGAAGATCCGCCCTGTGGTCACCGACAGGATGGCCATGCCCTTGAGCCCAGCCCCCATTTTTGACAGGAACTGACCTCACCATGCCAGGCTCTCCTCTCTTCTACCTTGACCTCCTGTCTTATTGAATCTCGTCCATTTCCTATGTGGCCTGTAATCACTGGTTCCTCACCTCCATAATCTCCTCCACTCCTGCCCCCACCACCTCAACATTTTCACATGTCTCCCACCATGCTTGTTGTGTGTCTGTCTGTCTGTCTAATAACCTCAGGCACAGAAGTGGTCAGTTTCTGCTCACTTCAAACACAGCAAGGATGGAAACACATTCTGTCCCAGCCCTAGCTCGGTGTCCCCACCACCATCTGCTCTTTGTCCTCTTCTTGCCCTTCAGGGACTCTTCACAGCACCCGGCAGAACCAAGGCCCAGTGGACACTACCGCCCTGGTCTGCCTGCTGCTTCAGACTTTATAAGCACCCTGAGCTTTTTGGGTATTGCCTCCCTCACCTCAACAATGAATCCAAAACTACTCCAATTTGTGCTCCGCCTCAGTGCTGCCACCTGCTGGCACCTTAATCACAAGTCATGCGCACTGTTAGACTTTCAAGGCCTGGCCATTGAGACCCTGCTGTGGGATATGATTTCTGTCCAGGATGCTGTAGTCAGTCTCGTGCAATGTCAACCATGTTTCCCATAATATCAGTGACTGGGCACTGCAGACATGATACTTTCATAGGGGAGAGACACTTTCTGTAGAAGAGCAGCCTGGAGCGTTGGTGTGTGTGCACACATGCACACATGCATCTGACCATTGGGAGTGTCAGACTGCAGTGTTAGTACCCGGCTGCTGCTCCGGCTGTAGCACATGCAGTTTGGTCCCCATAGAATGAATAAGTAAATAAAATGGAAAAAAATTAAACCCGAAAATGGGCATGGTGGTGCATGCCTTTAATTCTAGCATTTGGGAGGCAGAGGCAGAGATGAGTGAGCATCTGTTAGCTTGAATGTAGACTAGTCTATAAATTGAGTTTCAGGTCAGCCAGGGGTACATAGTGAGAACGTGTTCCCCCCAAACAAGCAAACAAATCAACAAAAAGAAGGACCAACTAATCAAACAAATAGCCCAAGGTGCATGGTGTCCTGAGTAGGAGTAATGCCTGAGGTTGTTCTCTGGCCTACACAAACAGGAGCACACACTTACTTGCATGTACATGCACCTACATGCAGACACACACACAGTCATGCAAGGCCCTTTTCACACCTGATCTTCCACCACATGTTTACACAGTCCTCATCCTGAGTAAACATGGCCTCTCCAGGCATGGCTATGTGACTCTTCAGATCCAGTTCCTGATAGTGTCCCCAGCATTCAGACTCTGACATTATACCCAACAGTCTCAACACTCTCTATTTCTCTCTGAATCATCCAATTCCAGAAACTCCCTTCAAATTACCTACAGTGCAGTTCCTGTGGGTCCTGACCCTACAGATATCATCATTGATGAAAACTGTCCATCTGTCCACCCCTCCTGTCACACCACCTACCCTCTCACTCATGATTTGTTTACCCCAGTGACAACATACAGACCCAGAGTAACCTGTGCAGACTGGGTCCTGAGGAGAGTGGAGGAGATGCTAGAGAGGGTGGAAGGATGGCGGCTGGTGGTGTAGACAGGACACTCAGGCTGCACCTGAGACTTTACATTAGCACAGTTGCCCCGCCCCCATCTCACCTCTTCTTTCTCCCCCAGGATGACATCATCATCTTCATCTCCCTCCTGTGCTGCTCAACCTCAGCATGAACACCTCCCTTCAGCCCTGCCCAGGGGAGCCCCAAGAAGAGACTCTATACTGTACTAAAGGCCCAGTGAGTGGGGCTGGGTGACCAGCTCAGTCTCCTGCTCCTCTGGAGGAAGTCTCCCAGCTTCTGCAGATAGCTAAGGCCAAAGGCAGAAACTTACATGTCACTGAGTTTGAGGTCACAGAAATGTAGAAACTCCCAATTTCCTCTTCAACATTATATATATTATTTAAAAGAAAATATTAATTGTCACAAAATTTGTTTAAGTGAATCTAAAAAGAAAACTGGTGATATCTTCAAGTTCTCTGTCTCCAACCAAAGTGGATGACCTGCCTCCATGACCCCTCTGTTTGGAGTTTTAGTGAGATTTACTGTTCGTTTGGTTTTGGGACAGGGTCTCATGTACCCCAGGCAGGCCTCAAACTCAACAGGTACTAATGACAGCCTCCAATTCATGGTCTTGCTATCTTTACTGTCAATCATTGGCATTACAGGCATATGCCACCATGCCTGGCTTCCTCTAGTACTTCTTTTAACTGACTGGCTCAGGCCAGGGAAAACTAATCCCAAACACTGGTAGCCAGGCTAGAAGCTATGTCTGCTCTGTGGGTTCTGTGAAGTCTTTGCTGTGGGCTCCTTTGCTGTTTCTCCCTTTTGAACAATGGAAACTGACATGGCAAGTCACATGACCACTGGAGTATCATTCATGAGGTCCGTCTCTCTTACCAGCTACCTGGAGGGAGGAGATGATGAACGGATACTCCCATAGATGACTGGCCAGACCATCATCCTGCAGCCTGCTCGTGTGAACACTCCAGGGTTGCTCAGAGGAGACACCACCCCAGCTGTCAAGATCACTGTGACCATGGCTGCTGCTGAGTTCAGCCTCAGGAGGCTTGGATCCAGTTACACCACTGCAGACATTTCACAGCTGTCCCAGGAGACTTCACTTCAGCCAGGAGAAGCCTGGGTCACTTTTCTATGACTCCATCTATCTTCAAATAGTCTAATGGAGATGGGACAGTTTTTTCAATGACTCATGATTGATTCACATTTGAGGCTTGTGATTGGTGGAACTGGAGCTGAATCTATGCAGGACTGTGATTGGTGGATCTCAGTGAAGCATGCCCATGCATCTCTCTCTTCTGGCTATAAAAAGCAGCCTGGGTTTCATTCTTTTTTTTTTTTTTTTTTGGTTTTTCGAGACAGGGTTTCTCTGTGTAGCTTTGCGCCTTTCCTGGAACTCGCTTTGGAGACCAGGCTGGCCTCGAACTCACAGAGATCCGCCTGGCTCTGCCTCCCGAGTGCTGGGATTAAAGGCGTGCGCCACCACCGCCCGGCTATTGGTCAGTCTGGATGCTGTCCTTATGTCCCGGGAGGCTCTTTGTTAGAAGCTGACCCACTGACTATCAAATGTCACGACAGACTGGACTTGGGAAGGAAATCTTGTTCTAGGGGAGACCCCAGAGGTCAGAATATCAACATGGCAGGAAATAAGGAAAGCGAGTGGATACAGACGGGCAAGGAGGACAGGAGGACCAACATGGGAGCAAGACGAGCTCCGTTTTAAAGAAAACTTCATTTGTACAAATACTAAGATAAAAGCTGAGCCAAGTTCCAGAGACATAAACACCCAGCGAAGACTCCGGTCAAGGCGGTCCCCCCAGGGTGGGTGGGCTGCTGGCCCATAAACAGTTCTGAAGCTAAAACAAAGGCTTAATCCATCAAAGTCTCCAACAGTACTGGGAGAGTCTCTAAATGTATTTTATCTTCTGTAGTTCTCTTGGCTAAATGTTCCTGTTAGCTAAGTACAACCCTGAAATGCAAAGGCCTGTACCCTCTAGCTTACATTTTTTCCCTTTAAAAACCCTCTCTCTGAGAGCTCAGGACATTCTCCTTCACCTGGCTAGTCAGTGTGCTGGATGCGAACCAAGCCCGGGCTTGCTTACTATCAATAAACCCCTTTGTACTTGCATCAGATATTGGCTCTGTGGTGGTCTTGCCTGGGGGTCTCGCAACATGGGCACAACAATGCAAGCCATGGTCTGTCACCTGAGGAGGAGCATGGTGTGTTCAGGGCTGTGGCTGAGATGTCTGTGTCCAGGGAGCAGGAGAGAGGAACCAGAATCCTCAGGCAGTGGTTCTCAGTGTGGACCATGGTCCTTTCCTCTCTCCCTGTCCCTGCTCCTGGACACAATCTGTCACTCTGAGACCTAGGAGGTCTCACATGGGGTGTCAAGAGAGGAACAGATGGATTGCTGGGAGTAAGAGAAGTGTTAAAAAAGTGTTATCAATTCCATAGACAGACAGAAAACAGCATGTTAGTCCCCAAAATCTAGGGTCTCGAGTGGGCACCCCAAGAACCCAGACTCCAGTCCAGTTGATGCAACAGCAAGAGGTGTTTATTGAAGAAGCAACTGTACAGTCGGGCAAACTCTTGTCCTGAGAGCAAGAGCTGCATCTTACTGTAGACACATGGGTACTTTTAAAGGAAAAACCCACAAAAGCCCTAAGATTACAATTCCCATACAATTTCGTTTTACAAGATCATGGTCTGATCACAGAGTGGGTACAGTTACGTCCACATGTACATTCTTCCTGAAACCTCAAAGGGGGTCTCAGGGTGGGAGTGGAGTTTACACAAAGGTCACAGTGGTCCTTCCTGGAACACTTGCAACTATCCCAGTCACAGGTGAGCACATCTCTTAACAGAAATCTTTTTACATTGTTACATTGTTACAGGTTGAATAATGGCTGAGTCAGGTGGTCCTTGGAACTAGTTTTCTTTTTAGTTCCTTATTTCCTGGGGCTTGGGGGTGTAAGCCTGAAGGGTTAGGGTCTTTCAAGCACAATTGGGATTTCAGGACCAGAGACAGACAAGATGACCTAGGTTCTAAGGGGAGGAAATCAGAACCCACCTTGCAGAACTGTGGGTTCTGTTCTTACACCTGTCCAAGGTCAGGGTGTTTTCACAGCACAAGCCTGCAGCCATACTCTCTGATTCCCAGGCAGGAGGCCAGGAGGAGAGTGGGATGCAGGATCTGTGACCACCAACCCCTATTTTGATGTAAACTCTCCTCACAGGTGAGAGGTCCTGGCCCCTAGAGGTCTGTGATCTGGGAACACACAGACAATGTCCTGGACCTTTGCTTCCACCAGAGGAAGACCATCAACACATAGATGGGGGTTATGAGCACAGCCGTGGCCACCACCACCCCGACCGTGGCTCCCAGGTTCACAAGTGGAGGATTCCTCAGGCCCTCTGTGTCCTCCAGGCCAGCTGTGGTGACTGCAGAGGTGACCATGGAGGGGCTCTGCATGGTGGTGCTGATGGCTGGGGAGAGATGAGAAGTGAGCAGATCCCCCTGGATGAGGGAGGGATGGGGTGAGTGTCACACCTTGTCTCCTCTGTGGGATGTGGGATGGGGAACAGATGTTAGAATTTCACAGAGAGGGAATACATGCTGAAGGCTGAGACTCCAGGAGAGCAAGCTCAAATGTTCACTCTCCACCTGTCCTGGAGCTGTGTCCTCAGATTGTCATCTGGTCACAGATAATTAGGCCATGGAAATCCTGTTGTTTCTGCCTAGATATGGGTAACATACAGACATGTCTCAGTCCATGTAGTGTTTGCTGCTCAGACCATAGAACTGGAGATTGATCCCTACTATCCATATCAAGAGCCTGGTGAAATGAGCGTGGCCTTTAATCTTAGCCCTAGAGCAGAGGCAGGAGATCTCTGTGAGTTAAAGCCAGCCTGTCTATAGAAATTTAGTTCCACATCAAACAGAGCTGAGAGAGTTGTAATTCCAGGACACAGACAGACATGATCCTGGGGCTCACTGGTCATATAACCTAGCCTACTTGGCAATCTTGAAGCCAGTGTGAGAACCTGTCTCATAAAATAAGAGGAATGCCACCTAACGTTCTCCTTTATCCTCCACATGCACTTGATGTAATGTGAACACTCACTCACACACACACACACACACACACACACACACACACACACACACACACATGAATTAACAGACCACCCACATGTTCACCCACAGTGAATTTATAAAATGCATTTCAGAAAGTATAAAATTTTATCTGTAAGTGAACAGCTCAGTGCAGAGTTCACAGCTCATTCATTTACTCTACAAACATCACTCTGGTCAATTTCCAGAACATGTACCTGACTGGAAGCTCCAGACCCAAGAAACAGCTTCTTTCTCTCCCTTCCCAGATCCTTGGCAGCTGCTGGTAGACATTACAGGTCAACATGGGGGCCATAGAGACTGTGCAGAGAACCATGCTGTGGTTGCTTTCTCACAGGTTGGCTTTAATCCAGTCAAGAGAGACTGCTGAATGGGGTGGCCCAGGCCTCTAGTTTTGGCACTTGGGAGGCAGGTTTCTATGAGTTTAGGCCAGCCTGGTCTACATAGTGAGTTCCAGGATAGCCAGGGCTAAATACAGATACCCTGTTTTCTAAAAAAAAAAAAAAAAAAACAAACAAACAAACAAAAAAAAAACAAAAAAAACACCAATATGTATAAAGAGTCACAGAGCAAGGTTGTGATCAACAACCCAGCACATAGAGTCTCCAGCTCCTGTCCGGCCATGTGTAGGACCACACAGTGACGAGGCTGGGCCTCAGTGTTCCCAGTGTGTGAGTCTGCAGTTACTTCAGCCTCAGAGGAGAGGCAAGGATCAGAAGAGTGAGCAGCCACATCACAAAAGTAGGGACTGGGGTCTAATGTGGGAGAGGTGACCACAAGGAAGGAGAGAGCGGAGTTGGGAAATGGAGAGGAGACAAGGGAGTTGGGTAGAAAGTGGTGAGGGATGTGTGCTGGGGAGTTGGAGGGGAAATGGGGGACTTTAGTGACAGGTGGCAGTTTACACTTGCACTGGAGGACTCCAAGAACATCCAGTGGGTACCTGCTGTTTGTTCTGGGCTTAGGTTGGAGCTGTGTGGAGATGCTCCATACAGGGACTCAGGGGAGCCCTGCCTCAGGACCAAGTGAGTCAGTTACATCCTGGAGAAGTCACTCAGTTGAGGTCCTGGAGAAGTGGCCTGGCCTGCAGTGTTAGTTTGGGACAGAAAGGGGGTGAACTAGGAAGCAGAGCAAGCTGAGGTCTAGAGAGGGTGTAGGGTTCCATCTTAGTAGAGAATGACAGACAAGGTCAGAAGGGCAGCAAAGACTTGTCACAACAACAAGGAAAAGGTCCTTTTGGCAGAGCCAAGGGAAAAGAGTATGAAAGAAATCTCTGAGTTGTGGAGCCTGAGGTGACATCTAGGAGTCAAGGAAGCCAGAGGCATCAAAGCCAGAGCCAGGGTGGCTCACCATGGATGATGGTCAGTCGAGTCCCGGTAATAGACTGAATATACTTAATGCCTTCATTTGCGTTTAGATAAACTTGGCGGTAGTATGTAGTCTGGTCCTTTTCCTTCAAGTTCAGGATTCTGAGTGCCCCGCCTGCAGGGCTTCAACGGGTGTTGAAAAGAAAGATTGGGTTGAGCCCACTCTGAGGGATGGCTCTTTCTTGGGGACGAGACTTTTGGTTTGATCCTCTAATAGACACAGGTCCACATGACAGCCCACTCCCAAGCCACATTGGCCCCTTCTATGGTTAAGACCCCTGTAGTGAGGTCCCCACCACTCACCAGCTTGTAGCCATGCTTGTAACAGAAGCAGAAGCAGAAGCAAGGATCCAAATACCTCCAGGAAATGAGACCAGCAGAGCCACCAGGCAGGAGAGGAGGCCCTGTGAAGGGACAATGGTGTGGTCATGAGTCAAGGGAGCATCAGGGTAAAGTGGCCCACATCCCCATGGGCCTTCTCATGTGGAGGACTAAGTGAAGGCAAGACCGCCCCCATCTCTACCTCCTTGTGGCCAGCAACTTCCTTCATTGATCTGACTTTTTCTTTTTTCATGTTGCAGAAGATCCTCCCTGTGGTCACTGACAAGATGGCCATGCCCTTGAGCCTATCTTCCATTTTTGGCTGAAGATACAGCCTTGACCTCTGCATGCCAGGTTTTCTTCTATTCCACGTTGATACCCTGACTGCACCATCCTTCATATATACGATGCTGTCCCCTTTCCCTCTCTTCTCATCTCTGCCTCTCCTCCCCACTCTCTCATTCTCTCTTCTATCTTGCTGGTTCTCTGTGTCTCAGCCTCTCTCTCATCCCAAGGAAGAGGCAGCCTGGACCAGCACATGCTCTTCAGGGAGAGAAAAGCTGACCCATCTCTGACCAGCTGAGCCCCATGGTCAGCTAAGAGATGCTGATGACGGTGGTGCTGGAGTGGATGCTCCCTCAGCCCCCAACTCTCTCTCATCCCAAGGAAGAGGCAGCCTGGACCAGCACATGCTCTTCAGGGAGAGAAAAGCTGACCCATCTCTGACCAGCTGAGCCCCATGGTCAGCTAAGAGATGCTGATGACGGTGGTGCTGGAGTGGATGCTCCCTCAGCCCCCAACTCTAGAATGTGGTCCCTAATTCTGCTCTTTGACCATTTCCTGTTCTTCAGCAACCCCTTATAGTTCCTAGGCTGAACCAAGGCGTGATAGATCATTACAGGCCTGGCCTGCTCCCTACTGCCCAGATCACAATGTCCCTAGGCTTCCCACATGACAGTCTGCCCCCCTCCGCCCCAACACGGGTTCTAAAGATTACCCCATTTCTGCAAGAGCCTTTCAGCCCTCCCACCCACAGAGGAAGCCCTGGCTCAGGCCATGCCATCATCACATGGCAGGTCTGAGGGCACTCCAGTCTCACTCAGTCCTGGTAGGCTTCTGCTCTGCACAGAGATGTCAGCCTGGCCTCAAGGCATCACTCAGCCTTACCTCAAAGGCCAGAGATAGGTGACATTTTCTTGAAGCTCTAGAGATGGCTTTGTCTAGCTATAGTCATTCCAGAATGTGGGTAAAGAAGGCTCAGAGCAGCTATGTGACAGTCATGACATATTGCCAGGGACATCTCTGGGAGTGGACAAGATGGTCTGTGACTAGGGTGGAGGTATGAGAGGTGGGGTCAGAGGCTGTGGGGGCTTCAGGTTCTGTAGGAGTGTCATCCCACCCTTCCCTGTGACAAGGTGCCATCAGCTTGCCTCAGCTATGGCAGGAAGACATGGTTATACCAGAGGAAGCGGCATCAGTCTCCTTGAGTCACACATGCAGAGGCATCTTCCCATTCTTGACACTGAGTGCCTTCTCCATGCTTGCCTGAGGCGGTTAAGCAGCCCGCCCTCTCTCACATCTGCTTCTCTGCCTTCCTCACAGTCCACACGGTCCTCAGATCCCTTGATATACCTCAGGGCATATAGCTGAGGATGACCTCAAAGACTGCCATTTCTCCCTGTGCTGGGATTACAAGAGTGCACCCCCACACCCAGCGTCTGTGATGCTGGGGATCCAACCCACATCTTCACGCATGTTAGGCAAGCACTGTACCAGCTGAGCTACATCTGAACCCCAAGCAGGGTCTTCAGAGGATGCCCATCACTAGTTTCCATCTGGTTTTTTCCTATTGTCTGCTGGCTGTGGAAAGTCACCTGATTGCCAAGTCATCCAAAGACGCAAGCTCACAGGGGTGCCATGGGCCTGTACTTGTCCTCAGGAACCATTACAGGGCAGGCTCTGGGGACCTACAGCTCCTCTTGGCCTCAGACCTCACTGCTGCTACCTTCTGTCTCCTTAAAGCCAAGTGACATGTTCTTTTGTCCTTTCCGTGGCCTGAGTCCAGGTGGATCCCCATAAGGATGTCCTAGGATGGGGCTTGTCAGAGATTTGGGGTACTCAGCTTCCTTAGCTGTTAATGAATTTCCCCAACATGAGGCCCAGGAGTCACCTGCAGCCATGGTACTGTCATAGGGGGAGGAGGGACTTTTTGGAACACAAAGGCCTGTGGTTTTGATGATCAAAGACAGGGAAGCCTGAAGGAATAGCATCTGCCCCCCAGGGCATCCTGAGGCCATTGCTCTCCTTTCTGCCCACAGTCAGAACTGCTCTGCGGCCCACGCAGATCTTTAATCCACTCACTGCTCTCTTTCTCATTCTACCATGGGGCTTACACACAGTCTTTTCTAACTGGAGCGTTGCAGGAACCTCCTAACTGTGCCCTTGTCCCTTTCTCTCCCCTCACTCCAGCACACCCAGCCTTCTATCCACAGCAGTCAAAGTAGTGGGGTTTGGGGGATGTGAATCTCATGCTGCTGATTTTGCTTAAAAACAAAAACAACCCACAAAGGGATTGCTCAAAGTCAGATGCCGTGTGTTGAGTTTCAGGGACCCACTCACATGGTAGGAAGAGAGAACTCACTCCCTAAAGTTATCCTCTGACCTCCACACGTGCACCATAGTGTGCACAAGTACATGCACATGTTTTTTGTGTAGCCACACATAATAAAAACATATACACACGGGACAGAGAGATAAAAAAGAGGTTATGAATTTGTATTGCTCTTGGAGAGCCTTGGAGTTTGGTTCCTAGCACTCACTTTAGGTAGCTTACAAACCAGGGTTTTGACGCTTCCTTTCTGACCTGAGGCCAGATTAAACCAACACCCAAGACAGGTCCATTCAGGCAACAAGGGACCATCAGCTCCAACCTATGGGATGGCCGAGAAAAACACTGAAATACAAGATAGGATATTATAAAAAATGTGTGAACACAGTCAGATATAAAACAGAGCCGCTCCTGTCAATGTACCAAAAGTGAACACAGCTCGAAGAAGCAGATATATTTCAGAACAATTGCCAGCCGGGTCACAGCCTTACATGGAGATTTGTGAAGAAATCTTACAGGGTGGGAGAGATGGCTCCATGGGTAAGAGCACTGGCTGCTCTTGTCGAGGACCTGGGTTTGGTTCCAGCATCCACATGTGGGCTCACAACCACCTGGAACTCCTGTTCTAGGGGATCCGATGCCATCATCTAGCTTTTGCAGGCACGACACACACGCAGTACACATATATACATTGGGGCAAAACACTCATACACGTACAATAAAATAATGTTTAAAAAAAGAGTGGGCACATGGCAGCCCAGGATAGGCAGACATAGTGAAGCCTACACACAGTCAAGCTTGTCCTGAACCAAAAATTCCAAGCTCAAGTCTGATCTAACACACCTGCCTTTGGAGAATACAGGTATCATAGATGGGAGCAGTTGGTTTTTTCTTAATTTTTAAAAATTCATTTTATAAAATTTTGGATACACTTATTTTTTTATTCTGTGTAAATGGGTGTTTCCTGTAGCTAAAGTTTTCCTGCCTGGTCCACAGTCAGGACAAATCTCTCTCACCTGCCAGTCCCACAGCCGCTCAGACCCGACCAAGTAAACACAGAGACTTATATTGCTTACAAACTGTATGGCCGTGGCAGGCTTCTTGTTAACTGTTCTTACAGCTTAAATTAATCCATTTCCATTAATCTATACCTTGCCACATGGCTCGTGGCTTACCGGCATCTTCACATGCTGTTTGTCATCATGGCGGCTGGCAGTGTCTCTCTGAGTCAGCCTTCCACTTCCCAGCTTTATTCTCCTCCTTGTCCTGCCTACACTTCCTGCCTAGCCAATGGCCAATCAGTGTTTTATTAATTGACTAATTAGCAACACATTTGACATACAGAACATCCCACAGCAGTTTCCCCTGCATGTATGTCTGTGCACCACATGTGTGCTACCTGTGGTGGTCAGAAAAGGGAACTGGATCTCCTGGAACTAGAGCTACAGAGGGTTGTAAGCCACTGTGTGGGTGCTGAGAACTGAACCTGGGTCCTCTGCAAGAGCAGCAAGCTCTCTTAACCGCTGAGCCATCTCTCCAGTCCCGGTGGGAATGGTTTTAAGGACCAAGGAAAACTTAGGCTGATGTGTGGTGGGAGCCCACAATAAAGACACTGGATAGAAGCAGAAGCCCTCCCCAGCCTCCTCCACATAGAGGGTGGGCAAGGGCACTGTGTTTAGTAAAGAGAAAAATGACTATTTTTTTTACTGACTCCAAATATATTTTTTGGGGTCCATGCCATATGGAAAAATCAGAAGGCCACAAGCATGATGTGCTTATTTTGAGCCTCCTTTTTGTGTTCTGCTGCATAGTTTATAAGTTGCTTTTTTAAGGTAATACTTATTTGCCTCAGTCATTGTTGAAAGAGTCAGATCACCTGATTCTTGTGCACTTTTTGTCCAGCCACAGGGGTAAGAGGACAGTTTAGTTTGCAGAAGCCGGTTCTCTTCTTCCATCATGTGGATCCCAGGGAATGAGACTTGGGTCATCTAGCTTGGCAGCAAGCCCCTTTTACCACCGAGCCATCTTGCCTACCCCGGTTTTATTCCTCTCATCCACAGCTACGCAAAGATAGATTGCCAGAGATTGTAGAACGAATAATGGACAGAGAAAAGGAGCGTGGTGAGCCTAGGGGACACTGAGAAATACCTCTAATTTTGTTCACATTTAATTGTTTTTAAAATCACTAACTTTGGGCCAGGCAGTGTACGCCTTTAATCCCAGCGCTCTGGAGGCAGGCAGATCTCTGCGAGTTCGAGGCCAGCCTGGTCTACAGAGTGAGTTCCAGGACAGCCAGGGATACCCAGAGAAACCCTGTCTCAAACAACAAACAACAACAACAACAAAAATCACACGCTTTGGAGGTCATGCAGGCGAGCAATGAGTTCT